GCCGTCTCGACCTGTCAAAATGGCGAGACCGCCGTCTAGGTGAACGAGACCGCCGTCTCGTCCTTCGTAGGTGGCGAGACCGCCGTCTCGTTAAGCGAGACGGCGGTCTCACCTCCTACGTGAAGCGAGACGGCGGTCTGGGTTGTCTAGAAGGCGGTCTCGTCCCTTCAAAGTGAGAAAACTTATTTTTTGGTACAGAAACTCCCTCCTATCCTAGTATGGGGCCTAATAGTCTCTCCTAATGGCTTGTTAGGCTTGTCCATCTTCAAATAGGAGGTCTCCTGGTCTTTATTTGGAGGCTGGGCAAGATTTGGGGTCTACAGCTGCCCCCCCTTTATCCGTCCAGTCGACTGCTGGCCTTCTGTGTCAGGACGATCGACTGGGGGGTAAAGGAGTTTACCCTCTTGCCCGGTTGCCCTTCAGACGTCTCGTCTTGCGGCGGTTGATCTTCTGGGGAAAACTTTGGTGTTCGTGCACTTCCGAGATACTACTTCTGACGTAGCCGATCCCTTCGGTGAAAACGTGGTAAGACCTCAGGAACTCCTTCTGACGAAGCCGATCCTTCGGTTGATGGGTATGAACCCCCCATCAGGGTGGTAGTTGCAGTCCGTTGTGTGGGACCGGTGGTGGTGGCGGCTTACTGCTCGGGTAGCTCATGCGCCGATGTGAAACCTTAGGATGCTCCTTCTGACGGTAGCCGATCCTTCGGTTGATGGGTATGAATCCCCCATCAGGCTGGTACAGTCCGTTGTGCAGGACTGGATGGGTATGAACCCCCCATCAGGGTGGTACAGTCCGTTGTGCGGGACTGGATGGGTATGAACCCCCCATCAGGGTGGTAGTGCGACTTACTGATCCGGCTCGAGCGCAGATCAGGCGCAGCTCTCTGGAGAGTGCTTCTTGTGTTGAGTTAACTGCTTTTCGGATTTCTTGAATAGTCATCCGGGTTACGTCGGGGATTTTGTTGGTGTTCATCCGGCCTTTGTTGATTGCCGGGGATCCTTTTGTTTTTGTTCTTTTGGTAGTGACCATCCGATCCTGGTTGGTTGGTCAGAGGGATCTTGGTTTTGTTCGACTCTTGTCGGAACTTTGTTGGTTGTTGTGATGGCTTAATCCTGTCTTTTTCTCGCGGTTTTATCTCTTTTTCCTCGCGATTTTGGATTCTGGCTTTTTATTGAGCGTGTGCCTTTTTTCTTTTTAAGCTTCTTTTACGTTACGCTGGCTTTTGCGAAGGGAGGCAAAAAGATGCATGAAATAAAATTTTTATTCATGAGGAAATTTTATTACATCCCTATTTTTATATATATATATATATATATATATATATATATATATATATATATATTTTGGAGCTACTACCCCTAGGGGCTATCTTCTGGACCCGATCCCCGGGGAGGGTAATGCTTGGTACATATGGTATCCGAAGTCCTCCTGCTCTTGGACTTCATCCTGGTACCTTTGCTTGAAAAGTCGCCCAATCCTGGCGCATGCTTTGTTGGTGTCTGGTACATTTCCCCCGGTCGGGTGTCAAAGGCCTCCTGCCTTTGGGACAATTGCTCCACTTGTTTGGGATAAGCTGCTCATGCCTCTAGGACACCTGTTCTTGCCTCACGGTCATACTGTTGAGCTGTTGGCATAGGTCGTTCATGTGGAGGTGCATGCCGGCGAAGTCGTACGTATATCGGGGCGGCTGCTGCTGCTGCTTCATTCTGCTTGGACATCGGGAGATGTAGGCATTTCTGCATCACATCCTGGAGTTCCAATGCGATATCCAGGGTGGGGTGGAGAGCCAGCTGGTTCCCTCTGCGGATCGGCATTCCCATGCGACCAAGATCGACCCGCCGATGGATTCGGGTCGCAGATTGTGGGCCGGCTCTTCCGGCCAGGGCACCCAAACCTTTACGCTAAGGGGGTGATGAGGGGAGCAACGAGGACGGCCCCCGCAGATCCGTTCCCGAAGTCCTTGAGGGCTCTCGGGAAGAAGTACCGGGGTTGCGGCGCCGCCTTTGGCTCATGCGGTATAGTATGAAGAGGTCGGGGAGGGATATTTTGCCCTGACTCTCTTTCCTCCCGTGTATAGTTCCGGCCCGGCGGCTTGTGGCGGATGCGGAGTGTCTGGGGAAGCGCAGATCCCCTCATCGGCGTGGGCGGCGTGGTGGCTCCCGTGAGCTCACGCCACATCTCGGCGGCGATAAGGTGGGTGGGCCGTGAGCGAGATGGCGTCACGGTACTCCTGGGTCATGGCCTCCTCGGGCCGGACGAACCCGATGGCCACGTTGAATTCTCCGAGGGTGGAAGTCGCAGTACGCCCACCCATAAAATATGTCACCATCTTGGTGGGCTGTAGGCCGGGACCGTGGAGGGGCTCTCGGAGTAGGAGACGGAGGCTAAGAATTCCGGCCGCCGCTGTGGATACACATGTGTAGGTGGTGGTTGCGGCAGGAATCCCCACCCAATGCTTGTCTAGATGGGCCGGACGTCGTCCTCCCATCCGAACTCGGCCGGGATGTTAAAATCCGGCTTGAGCATAGGGTGCCATTGGTAGGTCCGGATGTTCTCAAGACGGGCCTGGTGTTGTGGCGCTAGGCCAGGAAGGGTCACGGGGTGGCGGTCTCTGCGGAACTACTAGCACCGGCGGTGCTCCTTCTCTTTACGGAAGCGCTTCTACCAAACATCTTGACTAGAGGGGACTTGGGAGTGCGGGAGTTGAGGGAGAGGAGGTTACGGAGGCGAAAGGAGTTGTGAGGAAGCCCAAAGCCGCGCTCCCTATATATAGGGAAAATTTCCGGATCGAGACCGCCGTTTGGGTGGACGAGACGGCGGTCTCGTTTCTCCTCCGAGGTCGAGACGACGGTGCGGTGCACCGAGACGGCGGTCTCATTTTTGCCGGCGACGAGGCGGCGGTCCGGTTGGTCCGGACGGCGGTCTCGTCTGTCGGGTAGCAGAGACGGCGGTCTGGATGTCCCGGACGGCGGTCTCGTTTTGCGGAAGAGAAATTTTTCATTTTTTGTATTTTTTTTTTATATTTTTTTTTTTTTTGAAAGAAGTAATAGGACCTGGTCTGAAAAACATTCTATGCATGCAATGTTTTTATGTTTTGATGTCCTATAATGCCTATTTTGATTAAGTTTTCGAAGGATTTAACCAACGTGCCTTGTTGCGCTGAAAGCCTTCGATTCATTGCGTTTTACTCTTGGCTATACCATGCCGGATTTTTTGTGACCGAAGGGTAGTTTCTTTCTTCTTCTTTTTTCTTCTTTTTTTCTCTCTTTTTT